ATTTTTGTGTAGAAACACTTTTTTTTATGAAGTTTACAAAAACCAATTTCTTTTAATAGCTTCTTAAAAAAGCAAAATCACGCTTATAATAACATGGTACACGGGGGAGGGAGGCGAGAAATCCGAAAGTTTTAAACGTCTACTCTTTAAGTAGGCCTAAATTTCAAAAGCCACGACCGTAAAGAGTCAACACACTTCATTTAACATTGTTCCAACGTTGAACAATAAAACGCTTAAACCTAGCAGAAAAATAATTATTATCAGGTCCATATTTTTTCGTAAGGGGAAAGGTTAATGTCTATACTATTTTTATCTCCTAAAAGTTTACATTTTTTTGTCAATTTCGTCATCTAATGTACTTTTACATTAATTGATTTATATAAAATGTACAAATATTAACGAACTTATATAATGTTACATTGTTTTTTTCTAATATATATTGATTGTTATAGTTGCTTTTATTGACAATTGACATAACATAACTAAATTATATTATTGCAGCTTTGACTTCTAGTAGTTGTTTACCATACAACACGGTAGACATTGTATAGTTTGTACTCAATTAGTTATATAGTACATTTTTTGAAAAAAAAACCAAAATATATGCATTTTCTATAAATTGTTTACCTATATGGTAAACATATGTTCCAAAAAAAAGGTAAAATTTGGTTGAAAAATAATATTTTGCTAACATATAATACTTGTGTTATTTATTTATGTAATTGTTTTACGTGAATTTGTTAGTTTCTTTCTGTACTTTTTACTTAGGCCTAATACCAAATATTGTATACCTATTATAGCTTGGCCCTACGTGGTATAGTAAATACTATAATAATGGCAAATAATATGGTATACACAACATTCTCAATAACACAGATCCTTACAAGATTTTAATTAAAAATGTACAGGGTAAATAAAAACCACTTGATTGCAAACTGATGTATAGTGACTCAGCCAAGCATGACCCAAACATCAAAATGATGAATAGTCTTTGTATAAGAAGGGCTAGGATTCGTCTAGAAAATAGTAATTTATTGGAGCCCCTGTGTACCGCCGCGCTACCGTCTTTGGCAGTCTCTCTCTAAGCCTCAGCACATTTTCAATAAATTGCTTGCCAACGGCTCCTTTGCCATCAATATAACCCTAGTATTATATTGTCATTTACTCCGTTTACTTGATGTACTACATACGATCCACGCCGTTTTGATTCATTAAACTGCGCTCTCTGTATAAACATAAATTTCTTCTTTGGTTTTTGATTATACTTGCTTGTTCTGTTTTACACCATTGACGGTGTACTTGATGGTTTTCCATCACATCATTAAGATGACAAAAGGTTAGGTTTTGGACAAGAATTCCATTGTCTTTCTACTTGTATCTTTAGTAGTCTCAAATACATTACGATATTAGAAAGTATATTTCCCTTAACGTAATGCGACTCACCGTGGTCACCACCTAGAGCTTGGTAAAATATAATTTTGTATACAGCTTAGTTCAGTGATGAATTCATGTGATATTACTAAACGTTTATAACCCAAAACAGGTTATCGAACATTTTATAAAATATGATAAAAATAATTGTTTTAGAGTATAAAGCTTAAAAAATAACAACTAAATATACCTATTTATTAAGGAAAACCAACTTTAACTTTAGTAGATAATATATAATAATGAATAAACTTTTAAAAATTTTAATTATTGTTAAGGATATTTTGTGGTAACAATTACCGCCCAAAGTGTAAAAATATAATACAAAGGAGACAAATGTACTAACAACTAATATTGTTCAGTGATCACTAACTAAATTTTAGACAACAAAAAATAAATCACGTTGCGGCGAAGTACATAATATGTCGGCAAATTTCATTTATAGTGAGCTTTTGATGCTTAATAGTCAAACGTTAATAATTCCACTTATCATTTTATCTTCGGTAGCAAATTATATATAATAAATATCCAAAATTAATAACTGTTCGACTCACTGATGTGGTTATTAATGAAAGATTGATCATTATAAATGAGACTATTGTATTCTATATTAACAACTGCATTCAAAATCCCTAAGCCTTCCGAATATGATTTGAGTAATGGATGATGAGATGTTATCTATCTACACATGCATGCTAAAGATTAGATAATTTAACAAGGAATAGGTAATTCTAATTTAGAAAATGATTGAAGCGCCGTCATGTCATCAGTTTAAATGTTTTGTTCGGGTGACGTGACCTGTGACAGCTGGTATGAGGTTTGTGTGCGGCTAGTTTGGAAAGTTTCAAACGTTTTTTCCCCACAGTTAACAGGAAGCACAAAAAACCGTTAATATGACATTTGTTTTTTTTTCTGTTTAGAAGTTTGAACATTTGTAACTCGACGAACACCTTACCTAAGCCAGCTCTATTTTCTTAGATAAACTTTCAAAAGAAACAATATAATATTATGTTACGGCTACCAGAACAGATTTTCATATTTTCTTAAAAGTAAGACAATGCAATAAAAAAAAAATCACCATTATCATTTTGAATAGTAAGTACCAGGTATATGCTATCAAAAATATTGATTCTTTATTTGTGAGCTCATAGAAAATAAAGTTAAGAAGAGCTGAAATAATAAACAATCAATACGATGAAAATTTGATTTGTTTTCAATATTCCATAGATTTTATCGGCTAAACTAGTTGCAAAAACTCAACTATAGTTATAATTAATCTTGACGGACTTTTCGCGAGCTTTTAAACGCCAGTAGTCAGAACCAAATGCCTTAAACATTCACGAAGTTATTTGCAATATAAATAATAATTCACCGTGCTGACCGTGGATTTTTAGGTTACACTGGAGTCTGCGTTGTGATTATAGCAAGTTAAAAAAAGTGAAATAAAAATGAAAACTTTCCTTTTAACAGATATTTTATTTCACCGAGATGTAGAAACACATTTTCGTTGTAAATCCGAAAAAAAATCAAACCTAAATTTGAACCCGTCTAATGCATATACTTACTTATTTTATAGTTCGGTATGGGTTTTACAACCAAACCAAAATTATTTAAATATAATAAAAATAATGAAGGAGTTAGGTTCAACTTCTTGGGGTTTTTTTTTAATAGCAGAAATTCTGCCATCTGCCTACACCAGGTGATGAAACCATTCGGGTAACGGCTCACGTTAAAACTTAAAAATATAGTTATTTTTATAAAATTATAGTACAGCATTTTATGTTAGTAAATTTAACACAGTCTAATTAATTGGTAACATTTATCGCGTTGGGCAAAAATTAAAGCAAAAACCACCATGGCGGGTTAATCGGCCTAAAACACATTCCGTTTTTATACCGATGCCTGTCTTTAAACCATTTAATTAAGTCGAATTTCATTAGAGATAAAATCACACACCAGGTACTGTCGTCAACAAACATATTGATATTGTAAGTATAGTAATATATTATCCTAGTTTGTATAATTCCAAAAAGGATTCAGTGTCATAGCTGTTTGGTTAAGAGGTTGTCGCACCGGTGATTTTCAGTGGTAAAAACATGATTACGCCAACTGAAAATAACTCGCTTAATTTTGGTTTTAGAGTAAAAACATCCATTATAAAATTAAAAGAGAACAATATTCCGGAAGGCAAGACAAGACGGTGCGTTTTTTTAAAAAAAATTAATTTTTTGAAAAGTTACAGTAATTAAAAAATGTTAAAATAGTCGTTATTTCTAAACTATGTATTAAGCATTATACTTAGAATAATGAAAAAAGCACACCGTCTTGCCCTCGGGAATATTGTTCTCTTTTAATTTTATAATGGGTGCTTTTACTCTAAAACCAAAATTAAGAGAGTTATTTTCAGTCTGCTTAAAAAACATTTTTAAATCGCTTTAAAGGATGCTGTGATAGTCCAAAAAATAAATTAACTACCAAAATAGAGTCCTAGTTATTGAACTAATAGTTACACATAACCTTTAAATTAAGATTTTTTAAAAAATTGCCTATACTTTACTCCTTAAAAATGGGCGGTGCGACGCCTTCTTAATGGTTGTTTTTCGTGTACACCAGCTGTTATCTTTTTTGGCGAATACCCCTTTGTTGGTACGCTAATGTCCCAAAAAGCCACAAGAAAGCGCAACAAAACTGACTTACTGCCCCATTTATAGGAATAATTGTCTATAATATTTTATAATTGTATTCTTTGCCTACTGTGGTAGACTTGTATAGTTTAAGATCCAATACCCATGTCTGCTCCAAGTTCGACAGAACTGGCGTGTCGCCTTAGATTGTTCGTAATCATTTTTGCTTACGAATCTGGTTGTATATAATAAATAAATAATACATAATAATAATCATAACGTTATAAATTATGTTAGTGATCCGTCCAATCAAGAGTGACAAAACAATAAAATATGATATTTGTTTGTTGCACAGTATAAGTAGGTACTTGACAAAACAATGTAAAATGTCAATCGATCCTTTAATTCAATAGTATTGCAATCCCGTATAATATGTCTTTATGGGTATACTGTCTATACAATAATATGTTTAATGTGAAATGACACAACGAACATAAAAATATATGTTATATTATTATGGAAAGCATTTATTATATGTTTTATTACTTGGCCAAATACGTTATACGCTATTGGTAATATACATTTATTATGACGATAATTAATTTTAACCACGTCAGTACAGTCTAATCCATAGGACAAAAATCAATCTCAAGCAGTATACTTTTTTCTTTTAAATAACGTTTATTAAGACTATTTACAATCTATAATATGGGTAAAATAAGAAAATTTGAGAAAAGAATAACAGTGATTATATCTTTTCCATTTGTACCTGGATTACTAAAAATGTTGCATTGTTTATTTTTTATTTAGCTTCGGTGTAAACCGAATAAGTAAGTGTTGATTTTTCGTACTTTCCGATTAGAAAGTGATGCATTTCCATTAGCATTTCCTAAAGTGTCAGTTAGATATTTGGATTAAAATAGTAAACACAAAGACACAACGACTATATAATTACAAACATGACGGAGTTTTATTACAAATAAACTATTATAAAATTATATAATTTTTACAAACTTTTAATGAGACACTTAGTAACTGTGTGGCCTGAAAGGATTGTCGGGGTCAAACAGTTTTGGGTCGTGGCTAAACTCCGGGTTTCTGTAATAGAACGGCAACAAACCTGAAAGACGATTGGACAACCGTAAAAAAATTATCAGATCAAATTATAAATTATTTTTAAACGGATTTGAACCTGCCTCCAAACATTTTCTAATAATAGAAATTCGGGTTTAGCTGAAGGGCATCAACCTAACCGACCTCTAAACTAAAATGACGCTCAAATTGTGTTATCATACAACGCTCTCATGTCGTGTGTAAACTTGAAACGTTTCAGCTTCGAAACGTTTTTTTTTTTTTTTTTAATGAAATCAGTAACATAAAATTGTAAGTTTTTTTTCTTTTTGTGGTTATTTAAGTCAGTGTAGGTTGTGAGAAGTTTTGTAGGTTTTGAAAAAAATCGTTTTGTCTAAGTTGACAAATTTTAAGTAAAAATATTCAGTTATCACTTTTTCCCTCAAAAATCACCTTTACACTCTTAAACAAGCCTAACTAATGATAATAGTGTCTAAATTTTGAGACGAAAAATAATTAGGTTTATTTAGGATTAAAGAGCCAAAATTACATAAATATACTTTCTTTGCGTGGTTTATAAAATTAATATTCAGTATTCGAAATATGAGTGAAAATTGTTGTTGTTTTCAAATGGAATGGCCCTATTTGTGTAGACCCCCGACCATAATGCTTGATCTTTCATTAGGATCAATTCGGAGGATAGAAATATTAGGATACTGTTATGGGCATAAGGCATTATATACAGTTATTTATTAGCGTATAGGCAACAACCCTTACCCGCATTTCTGGCTTTTTTAATTTCCTCATCCACTTGTTGTTGTTTGTGTCGGCAAAGACCTGTAATGTGTCTGCCGTAAATTCGGCCTGTAAACCTGGATATAAATTGCGATAGCATTCTTGTATTTTTGTAATCTGGAACAATATTCATCTTGCACAGTATGCAAACCCGTTTTTCCTTTTCGTAGGGATTCGGTATGTTTACCAAATGCTGAAAGCAAACATCAAAACGCTTATAAAACTGTGAAGTCATTGAAACGGGTACCTACCTACATGTTATTGTAATAATTAATATTGCTTAGGTGAATTATATATTATGTACATGGGGGTCTAACGCACGGTAATAATTATAATTTATATCAAATATATATTATTCGAATTACCTTGCTGGTAGTCGTTGGTAGATTTTCCGCTATCGTCGCTGGCTTTTTTCGGTCCAACATTTTGTCTAAATTAGTCCACGGATTAAATCTGCTGAACCTACCCATGGTACGCACGTTGCTTACACTGATACCTTTTCCTGAATAAATAAATACACAATTAAATGTAGTGCTTAACTTGCGTTTACAGAGAAATCGCTAAACAAATATTACGTTACGGATATTATCTGCTTTTGAAATCATTTAAAAAAATAAACACCTTTACATAACAATATACTTATAAATTAGTTGGTGACCTAAAAAAACCTTGAAATTTTCTTTTAAAACAATGAAAATATGACCTCAACTAGTACAAAACAATATTTAGTAATAAAACAACTATCAAAATAATACATTTTATCTAATTTTGCAAAATCTTTCGGAAAGCCGTAGGTTTATGAATATGACTATTTTTCTCCCCTAATCGTGACATAAAAATGTCCACGCTAATTTCGGATTGACCTTCCCTAGTTGTAGGCAAGACATATTTATGTTAATATCGAAAAAAACGAGCAAAAGTAGTAACCAAGAAGAAGTAAATATAACAAAGGGCGTAAACAAGGGTGTAATCCATCACCTATTTTATTCAATTTGTAAATAAAGAAAAAAGCTTTTGAAAGAATCGAGGGAAGAGAATATTGGAGGAATAAAGATTAGCGCGATATGCAACTGCCATATTTCGCATAGACTTAGACTGTCTAAGACAGAAACAGTTAACATACTTGGAAAGCAAGGTGGAAAAAGTGGGAAAGACATAAGATGTAGGATCGCACAAACAAAACGAACGTTCTATAAAAAGAGAAACGTTTTACCTCAAACGCAGTAGGTTGAAATATTAAAAAAGAACTTATCCAAAATTGTGTGTAGAGTTTGGCACGGTATGGATTTGAAACGTAGGCATTACTTAGACAGAGACGGTCAAAATTGTAGTCTTTGAAGTGTGGTGCTGGAGAAGAGCATTAAGAATTTCATGGACAAAAAAAGTGTTAAAAATCCTCTTCATTTTTCGGAGGAAAAACCTGTGGGTGAAGTTGATTTCAGTGTATTTAACACTTAAATCAATGTAGAATAAGCTTGAAGAGAGAAGGAATAAGTGGATTGGGCATTTAATAAATATTAATACTTCCTAATAGCAATAATCGAAGCACGAATAATTCAATGACAAAATTCCATCCACTATAGACTCTATCTATTTTAACAACTCATAAAGTACTAGAGAGTACACCTCGATGATCTGAAATATTTACATACATCTTATACATAGTTGACGAATCTGTTAGGTACTCTGATAAATCATATTTTTTTTTAAGAGATTTCTAAGTATGATTTTATACAAAATACTTATGAAGTTTTTTTTAAAAATTTACTAAGGCAAGCAATCCTAATTAAAGAGAAAATATTCTAGTTCATCATTCTCTCATAATATATCGTTATATTTGTTACAGAATAAATGTACATTACACACATTTTGAAACCAATCAACTGGATTTTAACTGAATTGAAGCTAAAAATAATTTGATTTCTTCTATTTCATTACAATTTATTAATAATTACTCAACAGTTGATTATTATATATTATATTACATTTTATAATATAATAAAATATTTGAAAAATGAATATATTATTTTAAACATTTGGTACCTTCGTCAAACCATAACACAAATAGTAACACATATTATCGTACTGTTATAATTTATTATAATTTTTTATAATAGTAAATTAAAGACCTACCACATACTGCATTTAAAAAAAAATAAATTAGTTTATGAATTAAAATCATTGAATTACATAAAACTTAGTTAGAAATAATTTATAAAAATATATAAACCTAATATTGTAAATTATACTCAACGAGAAATGTAAAAATATAAAGATGTAGGTATTAAAAATCAACAAAGGTACAAGAAACAAAAACATTCAATTTTTGAATTTGTTTTATTAAAAACTACACATTCATTTGTTAAAATATTATAACAAATCTGAATCTAATAATATTCCTCCAAATACCCCGGTTCTAAAAGCATTTATAAAATTTCTGGCCATTCCCAGTAAATCCGGACGGTATATATATGATCCATCAAAGTTTCGATACTTGATACTAGCTTGACGATGTATTGCTGCTTTTGCTAAGGCTATCCTTATATCGTCGGTAGGTTCGTCACAATTCAAGTAACTAACATAGTCAAAGTTATTAGTTTTGTTTAGATAGTACAATAAGTAATCTGCAATAATTTGTTCACCAACTAAATGGTCTTGTAACGTAGCACAAAGAGCTAGCTTCAATCCAGTCTCGACATTTTTAATTGATGGTGACAATATTCCAGGAGTGTCGAAAACATAGATTAACGGATTATGGCTGACTTTAATTTGACTTTGAACAGACCTGGTAATACCAGCTACAGCCCCCACATGAGCAGCACTTTTTTTTCCTAAGTATGTATTTCTAATTGAGTTGATTAAAGAAGATTTCCCAACATTCGGTACACCGATGATCATAATACAGAATTCTTTATTTTCAGCACGATTATATCGATTTGATGATTTTATTAAACGTTGTGCGGTTGGTATGATTTCTTTGATTCCAGGGCATAGCGATTCCTTACAATTGGTGTAAATTACTTTTGACAGGTTTTGCTCACGTATGATTTTTTCTTCAACGACATTTTTATATTTCATATCAGTTAAATCCATTTTGTTTAACACCAAGATATGGGGTTTTATTCCTGAAATAGTATGCTTAAAATCTGGATTGCGTCCAGACAATGGTATTCGAGCATCGTGCACTTCTATAATACAGTCAACGGATTTAAGCTTTTGCTGCATTTGTTTCATTCCTTTTCCCATGTGACCCGGAAACCATCGTAATAGTGCTTTATCCACAACTTTAAAGGATTCCCTGAATTTTGATGCCATTTGTAATAGGTACCAAACTTTTTTTTTTTATGCAAGGACGATAATATTTGCTGCAAAAAAATAATTTCAAAATATGATCTTGAGCTTCACTTAACTTACACAGCTCCCAAATTGAGGGTTGATAAAAAAAAACAATGCAGTTGAATTTAAATAATTAAGGTACCTAAGAATTTGATAACTTGCATTAGAAAAAACACAATTTTTTTTAAGTATCTCGTAGAGTATAAACGACTAAAGTTTACCCAGTTTCGAACCATCAATTATTATAGAACGAATATGGTTTTACTTATAATCCAAATACCTAAATATTTTTAATCCTTATAATATACTATATTGGACATAACAAAATCTACTAAACATTGGATTTACCTTTAAACAGACTATCGCATTTCTTCAATATTGAAAACGACATATTATTCCAATTTCAAGCAAAAACTTATAAAACTAATATTTTTTCCTTCTTACTAACAACTAACAAATAATGAATCCTGAAAATAAGAAACTACTTAATTATAAATAAGAAGTAAGAACGTGCTTAATCATGTGAAATTCAAGACGGTTTTTATCATCTATTGATTGTCTTATCATTTGTCTGGAAATCAACCGATCTAACGTGTGATCAATTCTTCCATGATTTTTTCGGGTGGAGTTACCGCGCCCACTTGTGGAAGCTTGGCAGAACGGCACTCGACAGTTATCATTTTGTTATTTTGTTTACAACCACTAGAGTGTAATAGACCAAAGTTGCGCATTTTTTAAAAAATTCTATTACTTTACTTCACTTGCAATTTATATTTTCATTGTTTCTCACTTTTGTGATTCCATTATGTTTTTCAAGTGCTAAAAAAACAATTATCGTAAACACCACAATGAATTCGTCAAACATGTTAGTTCATGTTCTGACTGTTGCACTTATACTTGCAAATGTCACATTCCTGCATGGTTCGTAATATACTAGTGTTATCGTTAACTATTAATGTTTTAAAATTTACCTAAAATACGTCTATTATTTAAGTTAACTTGCCTTTTACATAAACTTTGCTCAGGCTACATTTCCGATCAACTTAATGAAAAAAGTAGTCGTCTCACTTGGTGTACAATAAATAGCCAAGAACAGTCGAAATGTTTGAATTTGTCTGCAGCAGTCAACAGGGACAGACAAAAATTCTACCAAAGAGATTTCATGGAACTTATTTGCAAACAGGTATAACATTATTTAATTTTCATACTTGTTAATTAGTACTATAAATATAAAGCGAAACTGTTAATAAAATTTGCTACTTTTTTATATTTCTTCAGCTAGAAACTTCTTATTTCAAAACGCCCATTTTTAGTTAACCTTATTTTTAGTGCTTGATGGTGGGTTGCTATACCAGATTATTAAACATTCAAAATGCCAATGAATCTTGCCAAGTACTATTCTAATGAATTAGGTTACCTAGGTTATTTTAATCGCCCTTATTTTGTAATTCCTTCAACAAATCTTCGTAATCTTATAACGTGAATATATTTATAAAATTGCTAAACTATGATTAAGTTATACCAAAAGATGCTTGAGATTCAAAGAATCTATTTTATTTATGATGCATGCATGACAATGTAAGGAGTGCCTAATATTTGAGATCTCCCAATTCACAGCTGACGTTTTAATAGCTTGTGTTTGTGTTCTGATCATCTTGTTTTATCATCTGTAAATTAAATTTGATAGACTAATATTACATATCTTCATATAATTATTAGTACAATTTTGGACTCAGAGAAAATATTTTATTTGTCAAACAACTGTCTGGCTGAAGAAATCAAACGCAGTTTAAAGCAGTAGATGTGGATGATCACTGTGTGTCAGTTTTTATTTTACCTAATTTCTTATTTCTAGGGTAGCAACAAAGAAGACTGTATGGTAATGTTAGATAATGGCATAGCGGATATTTTAAGCTTAGACGCTGGAGAAGTTTTTGTTGGTGGACGATATCACAGTCTTATACCATTGATGCAACAGACGTATGAAGGTAACTCTTTAGTTTCACTTATTAGTATAATAGTCCCTTTACAGCAATTAAACTGTTGTGAATTAATTCTTTAATTGTTTTTATAGATGGTACAGATGAATATTATGCTGTTGCTTTGGTAAAAAAGAATACAATGACTGATGTTTATAATCTTGGAAACTTAAAAAACAAAAAGGCTTGTTTCGCTGGCGTTGGCACACAGGCTGGATGGAACATTCCAATAAATACTGTAAATTTTATTACAATTCCTTTTTAACACATCATGCATATATTTAACATGTAAAACGTTTCGTTTTAGCTTATATCAAAAGGTTTTATGAAGATTATTGATTGTAATAATCATGTAAAGACTGCTATCGATTTTTTTGGTCCTAGCTGTGCAATAAATTCTCTTCTTGACAAATACAACCCTATGGGTAATTATTTAATGATGATGAACAATTACTTTTTTAATGTAAATAAAATAATAAAGATGTGTTTATTTTGTACTCATAATACTATAGAACATACTCATAAGCGATGTAGGACAAATTAATAAATTGATCAAATTCAAGGTTATGTCTTTTATTGGTCTATTAACTTTTCAATATAATGTATGTGGTTGCAAAATATGTATATGATTGATTTTTTTTTTTTAAATAGTACATAAACAGTTTTTTTTTATGTCTCCTTGACAGGTTTTAACTTTTTTTATATACTCTAATATAACAATTGATTTTATTAGAACCTTATATTTCATATTGGTTTTGTAAAAAAAAAAAAAAATTACTCTTGCTTATAACTTTTAACAAAATTAAGTTTTTTATACATATATTAAAATATTGATCATAAGATTTTAGTTACACAGTCATATGATTAATGATTATATGATTTATATAATGATGTATATATTATTATTATAAAAACACTTTTTATTTCATGTCATTAAATTTTAATATTAATTTTATAGCTTATAACTTATTTTTCCTTAATTTTTAGGTGATAATTCTGACCGTCTGTGTGTTCTATGTGCGAGCAAGGTTTCGGGTCAAAAGTGTACGTGGAGTGATCCATATGCAGGAGATGAAGGAGCGTTTAAATGCTTAATTGAGTCTGGCGATATTGCTTTCTTGCGACACACTACGGTATTGGAAATGGTTAAAGACCAGTCATTGTTTAGTGAGTGATTAAATCTACATTAATTTAATGATATATAAGATACCTAATTCAATTTTTATTTTTTTTATTATAGTTCAAACAAGAGAAGATGATTTGGAACTATTGTGTTTGGACGGTTCACGGCGTCCAATAAATGAATATGAAAGATGTAACTGGGGACCTGCACCTACAGATTCTATAGTTACAACGTCCGCTAAATCGTCTTCAGCCAGAAGCTCTTATCAAAAATGGCTACAGGTATGTTTATACAGTACATAACTTAATAATTATTAACAATATTTTGTTGTATCTAAAATAAGGGATTCATTACTGATAGTAATCATAATAGTATTATGTATAATATTTGATATTGGCCTTTCTGTAGAAAGTTGTCGAGTTATATGGCCAATCAAAGCCATTGAATTCATACACGACAACTACAATCAACCCAATTTGGGGTGGGTTTCCACCTCCAGCACAACAAAACAATGTCTTCAGCAATAAAACATTTTATTTATTCGACTCTTCTGTCTATAACAATCACCACAACCTTTTGTTACAGGTAAAATTCATATAACTTATTGTGTTTTGATATTAGTTTATAAAGTTAATTAAAAAAAACAAAATTGATTATAATCTAAAAATTAATTTTGTTTAATAAATCAGGATACATCTAGAAGATTAAAATCACTTGAAGAATCACATCAAACATATTCTAAATATTTAGGAAGATCTCTGGACATTATACTTGGTGTTCGTTATTGTCCAGCCACTCGAATGACCCTTTGTGTTACATCTGAACCTGAGATGGAAAAATGTATTAAAATGAAGGTAAAATTTAAACAATAATTTTGTGTAGTTACACAGTTTCAGTTGAAAGGTAAACGAAATTGAGTGGATTTTTATCAAAATTCAAGTTATGATGATGTTTTGATTACATGTCTTATGAATTGTCCTTTTGATCCGACGCTCACCTGCTGACATATTTGTAAATTATGTATCAAATTCAATATCATCTCTTGTCCGATTAAATCATATTTAAAGAGATACTTATTATTATATTTTAAAACAAACCTTGTGGTTTTAACACAGTTAAAACTGAATTTTACCACAAGTTTTAGTTTACAAAAATGAGTATTTTATTTGTGCTCCTTGAAAAGTTACGATAGTGGATTTTTGCTCTCTGCCTCGAGTACTAAATTTTCATCTTTTTTATATATTTTTCTTTTGTAAATTAAAATTAGAGACATAACAAAATTTCTGTTTAAGTTTTCAATGTTTATATTTTGTTTTGCATAATAGATGGCCCTGAAAGTTCAACTATTAGTACCCGAAATGCAGTGTTACAGAGGATACAGTCAAGTGCATTGTATGCAAGCTATTAGAAATGGGTAAGCGTCAATTTTTTATTTATTAATATTTTTAGTGGTACTACAACTTATCGTAAATAAAATTCTGTTAAGAAATGCTGATGTTGCTGTGATGGATGCTGGTGATGTATATACTGCAGGATTACAGTACGATGAAATTCCTTTTATAACTGAAATGTATGATCTACCAGAACCAGAATATTATGTTGTGGCTGTGGCTAAAGAAGAAGATCCAAGCACAGAACTGACCTATCTTAAAGGTTCTTATTTTGCTTATTCTCATTATTAGTATTTCTTATTAGGTTCTTATATTTGTACGATTGAATTTTATTTATGTTTTAACATTATTTTTGTTCAGGTAAAATGACCTGTCATCCGGGTATTTATTCAGGTGGTGGGTGGATAATACCTATGGCCTTTTTGTTGAGCAATGGATGGATGAGAAGCTATGGATGTGATTCTATACGAGCAGCTTCCGAGTATTTCAGTAAATCTTGTGTGCCCGGAGCTCTGAGCAATGAATACAATCCAGGACTGCCGTATGATAACCTTTGTCATCTTTGTAGAGGGTCTAGCTACCGTTATTGTAGACGTGACGCCACCGAAGATTTTTATGGGTATACAGGTATGCCTTCAGTTTTAGACACAATTGACAAAAAATAATTATTTTATTCACATTGTTTTTATTATTCTAAAATAATTGTAGGGGCCTTGAGATGTTTAGTTGAAGGTGGTGGAAACGTAGCGTTCGTTAAACATACAACTGTGTATGAGAACGCAGATGGAAAACGCAAACAATGGTGGGCTAGAAACACGTTGAGCCTTGACTTTGAACTTTTGTGTCCAGACGGTAAGATAAATGTTTATTGTTACAGGATCAATATGATCTGTAAATAGTGTTGGGCAAAATGTGTATAAATTAAATAATAAACTATCTTTTATTTGCTAATAAAATTATTTTTAACTTAATAAATAATAGATAATTTGTTTTGTCTTAATTTTTATTCATGTTAAATAATTATTTTTATTCTGTGTACAAATTTAAATGAAATAATTTTTTATCTTGAGTAATTTAAAATTGTACTTATTATTTAAATCTATTTAAATTTATTTTATAAATTCATCTAAAAATTAAATTTAGATCTCAAGGTCAAATGATTTTGAATTTTATTTTAACCCACCTTCAAAAATATGAAATAGAATGAAACCCAAATCATTCAACTAATGGATACAAATTGCCAACACTTGTTTTATTTATTATTATACATTTTTTTTTTTATTATTAGGTACTAGATCTACTATTGATGATTACAAGAGGTGTAGCATAGGAAAAGTTAAAGCTAACGCCGTTATTACCCGTGGAGGTGAGTCGTACAACCAGACTGAAGTGATGGCTTACACTAATCTTTTTATGGCAGCACAACAGCTATACGGTCGAAAGACCAATGACGAATTCACGTAACTATTTATTACAGCATTGATTATAACTTATATATTGTTAAACTACAAAATATTGCACAAGTAAAACTTTAGTTTCAGCATGTACACATCACCCGAACCGTACAGCGATCTGATCTTTCAGGACGCTACTCAACAGTTGGCGCCAATCGAAAGTTCGCAAAGGCATTACTCGACTTGGTTAGGTCAAAATTTCATGCGTGCGCGCAGATTAGTCGATTGTCGAGCATCGGGTACCATGATTTACCCACTGGGCATGTTCACTATGCTTATAACAATACTCTACGTACACTCGTGGTTTTAAGTTTTTGTGTTCAAATTGTATTATTATCATTATTAATATTATTATAAGATCTGAAAAGGTTATCTTTGACCAATTTAATTTAACGACTGCTAGTTATGTGATTAAACATTATTGCACTACATATTCCATGATAGATTTTGTATCAATTTGTAAATTAAATAGACAAAAATATTATCCGTCCATTTTTTACTATTAGTTATTGATCAAACTATTAAGTATTATCTTAATACTTAGTGTTAAATTTATATTCATATATATAGTAATTTATAAAAGTTGTCTAATTGTAATAATTTTAAGGATCTGAACCGTATACTGATAACTATGACAATTATCCGTCCATTATTATAAGACAATTTTTTATATCCATTTTATATTGTATTATATATTTTATTTATTATTTTTCACTTGCAGATAATTGAATTTATAAAAATAAAAACTCTTAAAATACATTCAATATAATAATTTACATTACTTAGAAATCACAATTTTCTAGTAAACAATTATTGTTGTAGCTTAATATAATTTTAGTGCAGTGTAGCTTTTGAAAACGAGCTTTCTTAACACCTATTAAGTATTATTTATTATTATACTATAATGTATTGTATACAAAAAATAAAGTTATTCTTCGTGTGCCTCATTAGGTACACTAAAAAAACATTGTGTTATTAATACTTTAAAAAGATATAAAAGATCAGAAAAAATCACATTTCATAAAATATTCTACTTTTTGTAGTTACATTTATACTCGTGATACCTCTAAAGTAAAAAAAATGCCATACAGTTTGTCAGTTATAAGTAAATACATTAGTCCAATTTTCAATGTGTATACGCTATTGTTGAAGCAATATTAGGAAATTTTGGTTTATTTCTTATATTATTTATTATTACAGTGAAAAATTAAATCTTTATAAAATATTATATAGAACATAATTGAATATTGCTTAACTTGGTTTTAATGGACTAAAATTGCTCATCTAGCATAGAGACAGTTTTTGTTTGTCTTAATGTATTTTTTTTTTATTTAAGTTTTCACTAATTGAACATTTACTGTTTTTATTCAGTAGAATGTAACTATAATTCCTTCAAAAAAAGGGGTATAGTATAGTTTAAAAAATTGTAACCGGTAAAAAGCAAAAATAACAATTTTCTAATTAAAACTAATTAATTAATTTTTCCCTGACAATAACTTGAAAAACTACCTATTATTATTATTTTTCCTTAGTGAGGATGACTTATACTTATCAATAATACTTTACTTCCTATAATACTACCAAGGCAATTACAAGACCGAGTTGGTACAAGTATGCACTAAAAAAAATTACCAATTAACTTTTATAAGCATTGTCAAAATATATTGAATACTGTAAACAATGATTGTGTGAATAAAACGATTCATTGTTTACACAAAAAGATTTTGACATAGTAGTATAATGATCTGCAACAAATCAAAGTTATTATATTATTTAATCTAGGTTGTACTGAAGTATAAACAACTGCTAGACGAGCTAAACTGGAAAAGTAAACTTTAAAGTTCTGCAAATCAAACAAATAACGTGTATTGTGTTAATATTCTTTGCGTTAGAACACTAAAAGAAAATTATTTTTTTAGAATACATCATTACTTTATTTATTGGTAGGCTACATTTTGGGAAACGACTTTGGTTTCATTTAATTATAGCCTATAATATAATCTTCACTTTTACATATAGGAGTGGTCAATTTTAATCCAACCTGTTTTTTTTTTGTTCATATTATATAACATACATATAATATCATAATACCTATCCAAAGACCCAACGGAATTTTCGAGTTCACTAGAATTAATCCTTCGGATTAGACTTTATTTATCTCATTTAATGAATTTCATCTCTAAAGTCTACCTTACTATACAATGCGAACAAAATATAACTCAAAACAAATGGACATGCCTGTAATTAAATTGCATATTTTAATATCGACGAACAATCTTTTTTAAATATATGTATTTAATAACTCAATTAGTTCTCACGTTTTTTTTTTGAGTACTACGTTAACATTTTTCCAATTAATTATAATCATTCTCACGGAAGTAATTAATTATCATTAATAATAAAAATTACATTTGGGGACTAAATAACAAGTCACAAGGTAAACTAATTATTTGCATTTTTTTTTTATTAATTTATAAGTCTTATACAATTTTATAATTTTTTTTAAATTTTTTATACGTTCAAAAAGTATTGTGGAACACTGATTAACAATAGTTTTTAATTTGAATGTGAGAAACGAGCAACTAGGAAGTAAACATATATGTAAATTAGATTAATTATTAGCATTAGACTCCGGCAAAATTAAGTAAATCATAATGGGTATAAAAACAAAAATTGTTATATAAAACTACTAGGACTAATTACAACTAAGTTAAAAGTAAAAGGACAATTTTATTTTGGTAACTTATGATTCTCTTGTTTTATTTGACGCAAGCTTCGTCACAGACGCACACCTAAGTTTTTCATCCATTTGATATCATCCGTGCTGGATGTAGCGTGTAAGTAATTACATTTTCCCTTCGCGATCCTTATACGGTTTAGGGTGGTCCATAACTCATAAGGCACGTGGTAAGTTTAAACCTGGTATTCTTACCGTATTAGATCTTCGACCAGTGATGAATTCCGCACCTCAGACTCTAACCATATCCTTTTTTATTTATCCTGTGAATCGTCATCGTTTGTTGCTTCTTCTCATTTGGGCCGTTTGGATTTTAGCCTTTTATTTGGTTGGTGTACTATGTCATTGCAGAAGGCAGTGTGTCGTTCCTTTTAATTTTACTGATCATACTTTAGGTAGCTATTTATCTGCGCAATTCCAGTGAAAGGCAGGTAAACATTTTTAAAAAATTGTGAAAAAATTAGATTACATTGTATAAAACCAATGTTAAAAAAAATGTAATTTCTTATTAAACACTATGAGATATTGAGTGATCTATGATAAAAAAAAATCACCCCGTACAGATGGAAACGAAATATTGTAAACCATTTTATTGGTCATTATGACTTGTGTTAAATTATAGTTAATTTTTATTCGGCGTAATCAATTAATTGTATTCTTTGTGAGATGTATGCAAACCGCAATTGCCATAACGTCATTATACCTATGTACAAAAATCCTTAATGATATTTTTATTTCACTACTGCGTTTATTTAAAATAAAATAAATATACTATTTGTTGCTGGGAATTCACCATCGGCTCTTCTTTAAGTCCGAGGCTTGCATGGGATCACAACAACGTCCCAAACACATTTAATATTATTTGCACGGCACATACTGATCCAGTGCCGCTTTAATTTTGCGGGCTTAATCCAAAAGGGTTAACCAAAACTACAACACAATCGTTTAAGCTTTAGCGTGCAGGCAATATTGTCCAGGTCGGTGTTTCGAAACGAAAATGGTATTTTAGTCCTTTTAACAGAAAAGGGTATGTATTACAGGTATTGATAAAAGTTCGATAAATGGCGTCTTAAGTCTTTTCGGGCTTCCTCGTCCATTTTAGTATAGTTATCATCTATAATTATTACAGCAACTGCACACTGCGTGGTTAAACATTTAATAGTAGGTATCATACATTGTCAAGTTCTGAAGAAGACTGAATCTGTTCCGGGTACGATTTTAAACAAAGGACCAAAATGGCAAAATGAAAAGTTGCTTTTTTCCACATACTGAGTTACTTTTTAAGATGTAATAACATTTAACCAAACGAGTTGTTTGTAAAAAGAATCTTTACTTAACCAAGTTACTTTTTAACACATTAAACTAGTTTAGCAAAAAGTAACTTTGCCATGATCGGTGTTCATAAATGTGATTCATTCATTTTCAATACATTTGTACGGAAATTGGTAGAAGTGCATGCGTTAAAAAATCATTTAGCTGCGATAGTTATTGCAAGGCCGTCGCTTGGTTATTTGTTTCTCACATAATAAATTTCAAAGCGTCACGGGAAATAATATTAAAATGTATGGAATATAGCATAATAATTACAGAAACGATAGACAGGACAATTTATGAATGTAGAAGGGCATGTATTTAAGAGAGCAGCACATTTTAAGTACTTGGGTCACCTTCTAACGCAAGACAACGACTTGAAAATGGAAATCAGTACTAGAATACAAAAAGGTAATAAGAGCTTTTTGGTATTGGAAAGATACTGAGCTCAAGAGCTATATCAGTTAACCTGGAAATACAGATATATATATTATATGACCCTAATACGACCTATAACATTATATAGCTCAGAGACGTGGCCACTTAGGGAAATTGGAGGAAACAAGATTAAAAGTGTTTGAAAGGAAAATTCTTAGGAGAATCTATGACCCCTGCATCGACACCCACACGGGAGAGTGGCGTAAACGACATAACTATGAACTCAAAAGAACTGTTTCAAAGACCGGATATTGCAAAAGAGATTAAAAAGAGGAGACTGACGTGGGCAGGTCATGCGTGGCAAAAAATCGGTTCAATAGTTAAAACAACTGTCGGGGAGAAACCTATCGGTAAAATGCTACTGGGAAGACCACGACTGCGTGGGAAGGAATCGACCAGATATACCATGGAGGGAAGCAGCAGAAGAGAGGGATGGATGGAGAGGAATTTGTTTGGCGGTATGGTCTCAACGACCGAGAAACCTAAAAAAAAAATTTTTATTTTGGAATTCTTTTGCATATTTAAACAAATTTTAAATACGATTGTTTTTTATACAATTAAGAATACATATCTAGGAAAACATGTTAGTAATATAACATAGTCACGCCTAATAAGTTAAGATACTGTTGAAATAACGGGATGTCTTTAAATATAGCTAAATGTCAATCTATTTAAATCTTTAAAATAAAAAATCCTATTAGTTACACTTATAGTCTCTCTAATCTTAAACTTTCACGTTGCTCCTTAATTAAAGATCTTGGTATATTTTTTGATTCCAAACTTTTATTTAACCATCATGTATTATCCATTAAAAATAAATCCCTTTCTATGTTTGGCCTAATTAAACGCAATTGCTCTAAATTTAACGACCCAATAGCTTTTAAATGTTTATACACGTAACTGATAAGATCTCATTTGTAATACGCAACGATTATTTGGGAAACTCGTAATATTGGCCATTCTAACCTGATCGAAGGTGTCCAAAACAACGTTCTCAGATACATTTGCTTCAAATGTAACATAGAAAGGCCTCAGCAATCTGGTTATAAAGATATTCTTAATTTTTTGAATCTAAAATCTCTTCAAGATAGAAGAATTGACTATTATTATTCCTTTTTAAAAAAACTATTAAATAACAATATTGACGACCCATTGTTGTTAAGTTAGATTAATTTTAAGGTAA